TAATAATAATTAAAAAATATACTTGTTTATTGGACAAAATATGTGATTACATAAAATATTTATGAAGATAAATGAAAAACAAACTTTGAACCTTGATATCATTTAAAATGGATTGATTGATTGATTTTTTAATGTGTATACCATCAAATTGGATCTGACTGGTAAAGGAGGCGATTGTTCCTCCTTCTTCAGCAGAGCATCTGGTGGATTTGAACCACGCACCTCTGGGATTGCAGTGCAGTTTCCTGCCACTAGGCCACCAGAGCTCGCCTAAAATGATTTATTAACTCATGAACCATAAATCACTTAGTGGTGTGTACTATTGAGTTGGAACCGACTCATAGCTGACACTGCAGAGGGTTTTTAGACACAGTAAATTGCCTGGAAGGAGACTGCCCATCTTTCTGCCATAAAGCAGCTGGTGAATTTGAACTTCTGCATTTTGGTTTGCAGGTATTCCTGAGAACAAGGCCAATGAAGCTCAGAAATCACTATCATTCTTAAAACAATAATAGAAGGCTGAGGAAGGACACCTTTCAGTTGAATCAAACTCAAAACCATCTACTTTCCTCTCTCGTTTTCTTCTCTAAGTCTCTCAGAAATGAGTGAGACAGAGACATACAAACACACACACACGCACACACACACACACACACAGAGAGAGAGAGAGAGAGAGAGAGAGAGAGAGAGAGAGAGAGAAGAGAGAAGGAGGAAAGGAGAAACACACATACAAATGGGAACACACATAGTCGTACTAAAACTGAGTCATTCTCCTGTCACTGCCTCCTATTCACAAACAATCCCTCTTCAGATTACTCTAGCCCCTAAAAAAGCCACTAATCTGAAGGAAGAGTGACTAGTTCAATTTCTTTAGGGTATTTTCCTGTTACCTCTTCTTCGTTGTTCTGGCAGGAGCCTGTATTGGTATAATATTTCCTCCACGAATAAAAATAGGGATTACATCAAGAGGAGCAGGAACTAGAAAAAATGTCTTTGTCTGAGAAGCTGGAATTTTTTCTCCCTAGTATAGAACAAACCAGTGTTAATTGTTTCAATTACATAACTGTTAAAAAGTTATACATCACATAAAACGTAGGAAGTAAACATCTGAGCTTCCGTTTAATTTCAAGAAGGCATTCATGGTTTCCACTAACAGAATAGTGATTCCTATAGCCTAATTCAGCAAATTTTCTTTAAAAAAATAAAACCAACACCTTACATAGAACTGTAGTGTGTAAACTACATGAAATCTGCGTTTCTTTCTGATGTTCATATTTATAACCACACACATTTACACTAATAAGTAAAAAAAGATACCAACAGAAGAACAAATTATCATATGCAGCATTCCAAATTTGATATGGTACTTTTATATGAGCATTTTCTTATTATTTTCTTTTTTTTTTAAAAAAAAAAGCTAATAAAGTTTCTTCTTAAGCAAGCATTTTTAAGCTGTTTCACATACATTGGGCATATGACCAGGAAGGACTAGTCCTTAGAAAAGAACATCATCCTTGGACGGGTGAAGGGACAGTGGAAGAGAAGACGACCCCAGATGAGATGATTAACACAGTAACTGGGGTAATTCATGGAGGTAAGTGTGGCGGAGTCAATGAGGCTGGCTTAGGATAGGGCAGGTTTCAGAGCTACTGAACATATATCTCTATGAGTCACAGGTGACTCAATGGCATGTAACAACAACAAATTTTACTAAGAAATAAAATTGAGTGGAAATATTTATAGAAACTGATGACATTTATGAAATATTTAAGAGT